TAAAATATCATTATCCTTAAGCCGTGGATTTCCTTGTGAACTATGGAATCTATCCTGCTATCTAAAACTGAGAGGGGTTTATTTTGGGGTGTTAGGGAACCTACAGAATTTCCAGAGGGACAGAGAACAGTCTTAGGATTTTACCCAGTTAGAAGTGACAGCCAAGATAGCTTGGGCCAGAGCTGCCTTAAAGAGCAGGTCTCCTCGCACTGGCTGACACCTTGCTGTCACTGCTCACTGCCAACTTTTTTCATGTCCCAGTTTTGTGTCTGTGAGAATGCTTAGGAGAACCTGGGTCATGTACAGAACTCTAGCTGGAAAGGCTTCTAAGAAATGATGTTTCTACTTTTCTGGCCTTTGGAGTGCAGGAAGGTAGGAGAACGGGATAGGGACCGGCTACCTTCATTAAGTACGTGTTACATTATTGCACCTACACTGACCTTGACTTTACATTTTATTTTACTATTTTATTAAAATATCCTTTTGTTGGGTCAGTCGTTAGTGAGACAGTGGGTTTGACTTCTAGGCAGCTTCAATCAGAAGAATTTTGTTCAGTGTTCACAGGATAAATCTTTTAACTAGAGCAAATAATCTTGCAGTGGATCCCACAGGTTACAATGAAGAGAGCTCTACATTATATAAAGTCAGCTTCCTTTCATTGATAGCAGAGTTAACTTAATCATGGGACACTGTAACACCATGATCGTGTACATAACGGGAGCATATTATATGTGTGACAGGTTAAAAATAGTTCTTTAAAGGAAGAACTTGAGGGAGAAGCATGGAAGAGTTTACAAATAAATTTTACAGTATATGTAAAACGAGGCCTTTTTGTTTGAGATCAAACATAAATGACACTGAAGAATGTTGGCAGCGTGCCTGGCATTCTGTTCACAGAGCACGCTTACGCTGTAAATAATGGCTTCATTTCCATTCCAGGACCTAAAAATTACTAACATTCTGTGCTTATGCAATATTTACACGATATTCTGCCACTAATAGGTATGGACATAATTAATCCCTTCTTACAAAGTTGAAGGCTTACATCGGCTAGTCTTAGTGTATTCTTTCATTTACTTAAATCCCAGATTTTCTTAGTATTTATACAACTGCCAGGATATTTTTTGGTAGACCTCAAAAGCAGGCAGAATTTCAGCTAGTTTCTTCTGGAAAAAAAAAAATCATTAGTAATACATATTTACTCCAATCAAAAAACAAATGCCCACTGTTTATATTTTCATTTCGGAAATAAGAAAATTGAGAATCATATCCACCTAGAGATATAATTACTGTTAACTAAAGCATTTTTACTTTACTCTTGTGTAATCTATTTAAAGATATTTTTAACAGCAGTGGAGGTTAGCAGTGTTTAGGGCATTTGGGGGGATGATTAATGTCGTGGTCACTACTTTCATCTCTTCTCAAAGAATTTGAAATTTTGTGAAGAGTCGCCTGAGAGGCGAGCAGCTGGAATATTAACTCCACAAAACACCGATGGGTTGTTTAATCCAGATTAGATCTTTCTCTATGGAATTTCTTTTACTGAAACTTGTTGCTGTATTTGTCATAGTAATATTCTTGGGGATCATCTGGCTCCTCTGCTTACTGAGTCCTTGTTCGCGTAAGCCATTTCACCTCTTTGTAACTCAGTTTTCTCATCTGCAAAATGAAGACAATAATCGTATCTCTTAGAGTTATAAGGATTACATGAGTTAATTTAGGTAAGATGCTTGGCACCTAGTAAGCTCTCTATAAGTATTAGCTGCTATAATTGTTGTTATTTCCATTAGCTCATTAAAACTTTCTTCTTTATGTGATGACCTGACAAATTTTCCTCAATCTTATTATCAAGAATTGTAGTGCTGCTATGTTTTTGGTGTCAGTGCTGTGGTTATCATGACTTATGTAATTTTTTTATGTCACTTTTTGTATTTGATATTAGAAAGATTAGATTTGCTTTTTAGGTTCTTATAGTACATTTTGTGTGTCATCTTTACCTTTCTTGATTTTATCTTCTCTGTTTAGCTTTTTTGTCCATTTATTTTTAATTTTATAATACATTATGTTATACATATTTTTTGAAGCCAGCTTAATTACTTTCTGAAACTCTCCTGGGTTCATGTATGTGATAGAAATGCATCATTTTTTGTTTGCATCATTTTTTTTTAACCTAGTTTAAGCGATACTCTATATACTACTTTTGCTATAATCATTTAAATTTTCTACCATAAAAATTATATATCCATTATAATGTAAAATTTTACTTTCTTATCAATATATTTAAGAGAGAGGTAACTCAAATTTTTTTACACACTAAAAATTTACTATAATATTTTCAGTTATCTTTCTGAATTTCATACCTTGAAAAACTAATTCTAAATCTGATTCTAGCCACTCAACACACAACCACTTTTTGCAGTTATTTTATAAAACTAATGACTTGTATTCAGGTTTCTGAAAGGGATCTCAGAAAAATTAGTATGTGCCATTCAAAGGTACTAAAAGCATTTAAGGCATATAATTGCTTTAGGATTGAAATCTGTATTCTCTGATACATTTTATTCACTTATGCTTCTCATTTTACTAGCACATTTTATTTTCAGAAAGCTTTCTTCATTGCTAATTTTAAAAAATTCCATATTACATAGAATCATAAGAGTGATGTGGGTGTTTTCCAGGGAGCTGAGCGAGGAGGTGTCGAAGGTTACACAGCGGTAGCTCTGGAGGAGCCAGATTTCATGTCCTGCTATTTTTAAACTTTTAAGGAAACGCAGAAAGAGGAAATGGTTCAGGCTTTATGATATCATTAGCGCTATTTTTATTCTCTTAAGTTCAAAGGTTTCAGGGATAAGAAAATTTATGCAAAGATGGAAACATTCATCTTTCTTGATTTCTATTAGTATACTCTCGAAATGCTCATACTGGAATATGCGCACTTTTTTAAATGTTGCTTTTCCACTTGCTTTAGGGATGTGCGTGTAGGTGGGAAGAATAAGGAAATAATCTATTTGTAACACTGTCATGATGTAGTATATTTAAAATAAATCAAGATATGAAAACAATTTCCTGGTACTAAAACCCAAATATTCTATAGACAGAAACACTTGAAAATGCTGTTACTCTATTTTAACAATTAGCTTATTATTGAAATTAATTCATTTCACTGACCCATTTCAGACTATGCTGAAAAAGTTCTCTTAATTAGGTTTGATTGGGTTCATTTTTTCTGTGAAAGTTCATTTTTTACTTTGGTATCCTGGCATTTTCACACAATTGAAAATAATTTTCACATCATTGAAAATAATTTCCGATTATGACTAATATTGTGGAAAGTTGGGCCAATTATCTCTTTAAGGAAAAGCTGGAATTTCATTTTTTCTCCCAGTATAGAATATTAATTAGGAAAATCAACAACTTGTATGAAAGGGAATGCTTGCGTGAAGTAACACGATGTGAAAGTACTCTGGAATCGTGGCCAAATGAAGTAGTGTTTTTTCATGTCGTTCGCAGAATACCGATTTCACGATGTATTAGTATGAGAGCGAGGAATTTTCTCAGTTGAAATTTTTTTTTTTTAATTGCCAGTTGCCAGCCATAGCTTCTCAGGGGTCTGAACCTCTTATGCCGCAGTCACGTGCCTCGTCTCCATCCCTGGGCCCAGCAAAAGACTCAGGGGCTGGGTTTGGGTCAGGAAACCATCATCTGCTTTCAGTCTGCAGCTGGGATTTTCAAAGTTAACACCCATCTATTTCCTTAAAAATATGGCATCAGTGGGATGCCTTCCTCATGCCAGATAGGAATGCTTAAAAGAAACAAGCCCTGCTCTTACTTTCTTTGCCCTTCATTTTTTTCGATTTTTAATTTAAGCCATTTTGTTAAGCACTTTGTATATCCTTGTGCACTCTCATAATTCTCATTAGGAGGAAGGGGTAAAACATTACCTTAATGTCTCTTGCCGAGTTTGAACATCACTGTTTCTCAGGTGTCCATGTGACCAGTGAGGGCCTCCTCACACCCTCAGTCAGCCATTTTTGGGTGGTGATATCATCAAAGTGATTAAGACAAATTTTCACCTTGGTTTCAGTACCCATTTGTTGCCATTGTGAATAGAAGCAAATTCGTTAGTTTTCTATCTGCTTTAAACTTGAAGAGGTCTCAAAGAATTTACCAAACACTAAATTTTTAGTTAAAATTGGCTGTAAAAGTATTTTTTTGTTGGATAAAAGCGGCACAAAATTTATCTGAAACTGGTAACAGAAAAGAAGCACTTGTCTTCAACAGTGACACACTTAAGAAAAAATTGTTCTTATTACGTGGCACCAAAATTGTTTACAGTGCATAGACTTTTCTATGCCACTACTAGTAAGAGTTTGCTTAAATCTGTTACACTGATTGTGTGCTGACACATTGTATGAGCACTTTAAAAAATTGCTTATAAGTGCCATGCTATTGTTTGTCGATTCCTGTACCTCATCTGATGACTGTTCTCAGTTTCCTCCTTTTTCAAGTCCCTTGAAGTGTTAGTCACTGTCATGGCTCCTAGCCTGGCTTTTCAGGAGAACTCATCAACTGCAAGAAAAATGTACATTATTGATAGGCATCTCCATCCACTGAGTTTATGTGGCCTCTAATTCTTAAACAGGGATGCATGCATTTGGATCCCCGCCAGGAGTAAAGCAGATTGAATGAAAGTCCATTAAAATCAGCGAAAATTACTGCCATTATCCCTGTCGATAGCAAACGAACATGTTAAAAGAAGGGGGTTGGGGAAACGCTAAATCGAAAGGGAAAAAACCTCACTCTTCCTCTATTGTGTGGATGAGTAATAGGAAAAACCCTCGAATGACCAAGAAAGGCTTGTGAGTCTTCCTCTGATGGATTGGAGTTGAATTCCGGTTGTTGTATGGAATGCTCTGAGAGGTAACTGGGAGCTAAATAAGCTGCCGTCCACGCCTTCACAATTAATTCCGTGTGTTCTTGGGCGGGGGGACCGGTTTCAGGACATGACGGCACGTGACCTGCTGCAGCAGAGGTACACCCTCCCAAACGGGGACACGGCCTGGCGGTCCTCGCCCCTCGTGACCGCCGCGCTGGAAGGCAAGCTGGTCCTCCTCGATGGCATCCACCGGGTCAACGCGGGCACCCTGGCCGTGCTGCAGAGGTTTGTGCAGTCACACTCACGAAAGGGCACAAGGACGTGGTGGACGTGGGACTCTCTCTCGGTCACCTATTTTGAAACTGGTTGCGTAGATCTTAGAATTCTGTACCCATGTAAAACGGCAGATTTTTTTTTATATTGTAAATACAGTATGTACGGTAAAACTTCAAATAATGAACATTTGGGAGAAGCCACTGCTATGCATAGCAGACTTATGTGTTTTAAGAAAACTTTTAAGTTAGTGATTTTGAAAGACTTTACATAAGATCATTGACATGCGACAAGTCACACAGTGTAAGTTTCTGTGGCTTATCAGAGCCGCAGCTCCCTGTTTACAAACTCCTTGTAAATCATAGACTTAAATTACTGATTGATCTTGTTGGAATTTTTCTTTTGAGAGAAAATACAGTTTCTTATATAGAATGTGTTTCATTGTATTTTATATAAACCAGAAAAACTCGCTTCGTGCTCACTAGCTCGAACATTCACGTAACTGTTTTTCTCTTATTTCAGTTTAGGTGGGGCAAATATCCACAGATTCCTAACTAAGTTCTCTTGAATTTAGTGTTAAGAAAAAACTGCACGTGTAACTTCCATGGAAAATGTTCCCATCCTGTGTCATTTGCGGAGACTGATGATACTGGATTTTGTTGTTGTTACGCCTCGATTCTAACACTTGTAGACATTTGACTGACTTATCAGGAAAGTTCAAATAAGTGGAATAATCCATTTCCCCAACTAACTACGCAAAGTTTTTTTGTCCTTGAAAAGGTGTACATACCAAGTATACTTAAGGATTTCAGAAACATTGTGTTAATCCTGACTAGATTTAAAAGTACTTTAAGTGGTTCACCGTAAACATTCCATAGATTTGTAGTATTTTCCTCTTCTAAACAGTCAAGTGCAGACAAACAAAAGGCTGCTCCCCCGTTTTATCAGCTCTCTCTTGCCTGGTTCACCAAGTAGCAGCAGCAGCAGCAGCTGCCACAAGTGCCAGCCGGCTCTGCTGCACGTGGCGCCACGCTGCCGTGTCCCAGGTCCTCGGCTTTGGAACCACCTGTGGGTGTGGGACTTAAACACTGCTGATGCCTAGGCCCCGCCTCCTCAGAGTCCGATGCCGTCGACCCGTGGTGAGGCCTGACCATTGGCACTTTAAAATTTTTGATACAGAAATCAACCATTTTGCCAAGTGTAACAGCACTGGTCAACTTAAAATTTCGAAAGGTACATCTAGAATTGTTAGACGCAACAGCCTGTGGTCATGGACGTTATTAACTTCACCGTTCGAAGCTGATTACTCTGTTCTCTGACTTTCTCGTTTCCCATCAGGTTGATCCATGACCGGGAGCTAAGCCTCTATGACGGCTCTCGGCTGCTGAGAAAAGACAGGTACATGCGTTTAAAAGAGGAGCTGCAGATGTCGGACGAGCAGCTGCAGAAGAGGTAATCTGGGATGCACTGCTCTTACTCTGCGTGTCGAGTGTGCCTTCTTTTTCTTATTCTTCTAAACTTAGGGTCAAGCCAAGAAAACTTGGAACAGCTCCATAACTCAGTGTCCTGGGCTTGCTCATGGTTGGGCACATCTTAAAACTTGACGTTGCCCTCCATGGTATGCTCTGCACGCTCGGTCTACCTGCGCATAAGTGCTGAAACGTGTTATCAGAACGTTAATTTTAAGAAGTTTAGCCTTCTCTGTTGCCCTAGCTATTCGGTTTTTGCTCCATACTTTATATGCCTCAAAGAAACAAACAAACAAGTGTCACAATTAACTGGGCCCACTCTCCTAAGAAGGCATCAGTTATTACTGGGGTACGCCACCTGCCTCAGGGTTCCCATTCATGGCTTATTTAAACGTTTTCCAGAGATACAACCACCAAATACAATGTAGGAGACTTGATTGGATCCTGGATCAGGATATAAAATGAAAACAGCTATAAAAGACAATTGTGAAAGTTTAAATATGGGCTATATATTTGATATTGAATTAATATTAATTTTCTTAAGTATCATAATGGTGTTATGAAGGATGATATTCCTAGTGTTGGGAGACACGTGCTGAGATATTTAAGGGACAAAGTGAAAAGATGTCCACAGCTTCCTGCCAGATGTTTCAAAGACGAGAAGACGTGTGTGTGCAGACAAACACACACACACATGCACACGCACGCGCACACATGCACACACACACATACATGCACGCACGCACACACACATGCACACTCACACACACATGCACACACACACACACACCACCTGGAGAGAAAGAGCGAGATCAAGTGAGAGAGAATACAAATGTAAAGTCTTAACGATTGTGAAATCTAAGTGAAGGATTTAGGGATGTTCAGGTTCTGTCCTTTCAGACTTTCTATGGGTTTGGAAATTTTTTAAATAAAAAACTTGAAGGAAAATATTTCTTTCATCCGCATACTGTACTTTTCCCTTAGAAGAGGTTTGGCAAATATAAGTTATTTCTTGTCTCATTACATTTCCATGGTCATTTTGACATAATTAGAAATGGTTGCTTTGGGGAATTCCCAGTCACTTATTTGGATCTTATTTAATTGAAGCTTCACCCCCAACCCCTCTGAAGAGGTTGCCGCCGTATTTAAAACATTAAAATCCTACAAATGATACTTAAGCATATTTCTTATTATGTTTATGTTTTAAGAAGGGTTTTGTTTAAAAATTGCCTTGGAACGTTTTCGCAGCGAGGAAATGTTAAATTTCTTCCTATCTCTGTATGAGTTATTTAAGAGTTCACTTGATCGCACAGCTGTCTGTGCTCCGAAGGTGCGCATCATCAGATTTCTCTGCCTGGGAAATGGCTCGGCCAAGTGTCAGGGAGGCCAGTTATGACGATCCCATTCGTGTCATCCCTTCCGTTTATTACGTTCAACCTTCGTGCATCATTTGCATGGCACTCATCTGTCAGGCAGCAGTTTTTATTTTCAGGGAGACGAGTCGCAGCAGTTGGGCAGTGGCTCTCAGCGAGCTCGCCTGTCAGTTTCCCCTAGGACTTCAGAGGCGTTGTATTTGTAGCCAAACATCCAGGAAACGACAGCCCCCTTCTGTGAAAAGCACCCCAGTCCTCCAGAACGGTCCCCTGCAGTTTTACAAATGAAAACACTCTCAGAAACAGAGTGGCGCAAGCTTCAGCATGTTCAGGATCTGGCCCAGAGCGGTTAGTACTTCTTCTCTGAGTGTCCATCTCTGTCACTGCCAACTTTGCAGCTCGCCCCCGAATATAAACCAGACCCAGTTCTATCTCGAGGTCACTCTGAGTAGGTAGAAGAGGGTCATGGCGCTGCTCGTTCCCTTCACTTATTTCTTATTTTCATTTGAATTTTTCATTATTATTAAACATTCATGAAACTTGAGCCAGATGGTGTTTCAAGGCTTGTTATATTTCCTATTCCGCATTCTTCCAAAATAGTTATGGAGCCATTTGGGAACTTTATGGAGTTTTTGCATTATTATCCTAGCATAAGGACTATTCACAGCAGAGCCATTCAATAAACTAGTTGTTTATCCTTTTTCACATACGTTTTGCTTTTCCTAAAGTTAGTACTTGTCTACATTTGAAAAGTGGCACATATACAAATAAATAATTACAGTGCGGCTTTTAAGTGTTAGCATAGAAATCCCGACAGGAACGCTGTGGGACAGATGGGAAAGTGACCCTATTTCTCACTTTTTCACCCCAGACCCTTCTCTTGTGTCTAAATCTCCTCAGCACGTTCAGGCGCATCAAGTATTCTATCAATTTCGTAATCTCTGAATCTCCTTTGCTCCCGTAGTGTGTTCTGACTCGCCCTTATCTGGACTTGTTGTCGTTCATACTTGTAGCCCATGTATCATTCCAGATCTCTCTGCACCCCACTTCCCGTTGCCTCCGGTGTCGCTTTCTGCAACTTCCATTAGTTAGAGGTTGAACCTCCTGGGCCAAACTTCTAATTTTCTTTTCTCTCTTAATGTTCTGACAATTCATCTGGACTTCATTGATTTTCAGAGGCGAGGTGTCTCACAATTGATTCTCCCCTCGGAAATATTTCTATCATTTGAAAGCCTCATTCCTTTCCTTATCAGTATTTCTCCATTTTTTTTTTTTTACCTGAGAAACGCTATTTTCTTATGATTATAAGCAGTTTTTTTTTTTGAATTTATTGTTAAACATAGTCATGTTACAGAATCTGCTTCACTCTGATGATATGGATCATTGGTAAATTTCTTCCCATTTTCTTCATTAACCTGGATTAAATTTTGTAGCTCATTTTTGTATTTCTGGGAATATATACGTTCTCTTTTAGGGTTATATTAGGTTATACTAGGTTAGATTCTTCCTTTAAGCCAGTTGACAGTATTTCTTTCCAGGCTGTATGTTTCGGTAGGGAGCTGGCACCTTGACTAAAAGGACATAGCACAGCATAAAAAGCAAGAAATTTGTACTCAGTGAGAAAATTAACTTACTTCATGTGTTCTTGTAAGTACTAAGACCCATTATCTAGCTCGGCTTGATCCTATACGCTGTCCACATCCAATCTGTTGCTCTTGCCATTGGCACTAAAGCTGCAAATGAGAAACTTATAATTCAGGCATATATCCTTTTCATTTCTGTACCTAATCGCAGAACTGATAGTCTTTAAACAAACTTAGGTATTAATGTTTGGTTTTCTTGTGGGGGATTCTGAGATAAAGAAAAAGGTCAAAGATATAAAGAAGGGACAGCAAATGTAAGAGCTTCCTTGCCTCTGTGCC